TTGTGCGCGGGAGTGGGAATTGTGCAAAAGGCCATCCTAAGGCTCAGGAAGGTCCTATAGGGAATCCCTTTTGGGTTTTCTCATGTTGGTTTCGTCCTTCTAAGTGCTAGAAGTTGATACCACACACGCGAAACTCCAAAAGGGGACGGAAGCGGGTCGAACTAAAACGAGACAGGTCCCACTTCTAAGGTTCTAAGATAGTCGAAGGGAGACCCCTAAGGCTAGATCCTAAATCCTAGATCCTAAGATCCTAACTCCTACGAGGAATACTAGACCTCACGAAAAAATGAGGTCAACACACACAAAGACACATGCATAGAATTCTTGCATGCATGCATGAGCACATACACTCCCACACTCGCATTCACACCCATGCACACACCCAGGCTCACACAATGCACCCACGAGCATAAGCATACACATGCATGCACGCAGGGACTCGCACTCACATAGAGGATATCAATAAGCAGGAATGATCTATGATATCTTTTTTATGAGAATAAAAAACATATTTCCTATCAATTGATAATGAAAGTGTATAAAGCTTAGTATTGCATATAGCGCATATAGTATATAGTATAACATATATCAAACATTCATTCACAAACCTTAACATGATTTGTTTTGCAGTGTTATCAGCCCTTCTTTTCATTAGTCTTTTCTTTCTTTGATAGGGTTGCTACACCTTCCGTTGGAGGATTATAATTTAGTTGTGTTAATCATTTTTGGCATGGTTTATTTTCCTGGGCCTAATTGTGATCCAATTTTTATGTGGTTGGGCTATAGTATGTGTGCATAGGCAAATACATGGATAAACTTTTCTCTTTGGGCCACTAGTGTTGTCTTGTTTCCTCATTATTTTCATACAACCATATTAACCTATTAATTTTTTCCACGTTAAATTTAGCATTCAATTACTTAACACTCGTTCCATGGAACATTGCCCAACTAATTCCATTTTTATAAAATTTATTTCTAAGTTTCATATTTTCTCATAACAATACATTAGGGATGCTTTTCTATTTTATGGTCCTAGCCTTAATTTAATGTTTTCTTTTTTGTATATATCCTCATTTTTTATAATAGATTTAAGGTAATTAAATTATCACATCTGGCTTTCTCTTTATCTTCTTTCTTGATTGACCAATTATTATTAATATCACATGTTCACGCTCAGTGAAATTTCTTATTAATTTGTCACCTATTTTGTCCATTAACTTTAATTCATCTATCTCCTAGAAAATATTTACATTATTCTAAAATTTGAGTTTTCTCAATGTCTCAGTGATTAAAAAATTTCATATGCAAAAGGTTTGCTAAAACGCTTCATTTTGAATATTCTTTGTAACATTTTGGTAAGCAGTGCGAAATAATGTGACCCATTGTTGATTCCTTATATAGTCTTACTATATTTAAAAAATTTTAAGTGGTCATTCAAGCACTATTCTTAATAATTGTTAGTCCATATTTTAATAAATTAAACTTATCTTTGACATGGTTTTTTTTTTTTTTTTTGTTTTTTTTTTTTTTTTGCTTTCTCAATGCTCATTTTAGAAAACTTGAGATTAAATTTCTTGCTCTATGGCATTTAAATTACGATGTTCTTTTATTTATAAGTATTGTCTTTTCTATTTTGATAGGTTTTAATTATGATTCTCTTAGATTTAAGTCTTCTTTGTTAATTACCATTGTTGTATATCGCTTATGAATAATACAATTCAATGAAAGGTACTTCTTATTCTCACTTTCCTTGGTGTTTCCTTGGTGTTAGAGTCGAAATCCCATTTCTTCTAACTTTCCTTGGTGTTAGAGTCGAAATCCCATTTCTTCTTTATAGCTAAAATTGCCATGATTGATGTGATATCTATGAATTCCTTGGAAGTTTATTCCTATTCCCCGTGCCAACTTAGAAGTTTCTTCATATTCCCCTTGCCAACTTTATTATTTACTCCATTAATCAATAAACATCATTCCATCAAATTACTCAACATAAATTCAATTTAGGTTGAATGAAGTAGAACTCTGAAATTTGAGAATTTCTTGGAAATGGATTAGTGATAAATTTGATGGAGCATAAAATCAACTCAACACACCTTTTTTTATAAAACTTCAATGAAGATCTAGGATATAATTTACCCAATGTATTTTGATGTCAAAAAGATGACACAGCTTTTTGATTTGATTTGAACTTAAAAATTTGATCGCACTCAAGGAACCTATAGAAGATTAACGAGAAACAAATGAACTGAAAATTAAGAAAATATGGTAAATCTAATTGAGGATTTTAGTCGATTATTTTGGAGAACAAGCCGAGTGTGTTTCTTTTTCAAAAGAACAATTCAATCAGTTATAAGCTTTATACAATCAATTTAAGGTATCTACTTATGCATGTATTTTAAGGTAAATTTCTCCTAAATGTTCTTCGTTCAGAAGGTGATTATTATTTAGCTTTAAGTGCTAAATTTTTAAGGGGAATTTAGATTGTGGATTTTGAGGCATTTGATCACAGGGCTATAAATCACATGGTTTTATTTATATACTCCTTTCCATGATTATGAAAATTTTGGGCAGTTTGTGGATCTTTTTCAAACTGTAAGGGTAAATGGTGTATTTGGGCTATTGGTTTGATTTTTCTTCATTCATTCATGTTCTAAATTACGAGTGTAATCTTGTGTTAGCAACCTTTTTTCATTATTAATGTTATAATTTCGTCTTAGGTATTACAATTGGCTGCTCTTGAATGTGTTGTAGCTTGTATTGTCTTGATGATAGTGAATGATCTTAGGTTTTATATAGTAACAGTTATCTCTAAGAAATTCCTAGAATTCAATTGATCCTTTACTACGATCCTACCTAGCCTGATGGATCACACGTTAGTGCCTATTGATTGAATTAAGGTAATTATGCATGGCTTAACGTATTCCTAAATTAGTGGACCCTCTGCTATTTTTAATTTTTGTTTAAATTTTTTTTGGACACCTTTCTTAAATTTGGTATCTCAATAGAATTGGCACCATCTTGATGATGTCACCATGTTGGCCTATGATGATTTTATTTGAGTTATTATACTCTTGGTTGACCCATGGAGTTTTAGTTGAACAATCCCAACCCATGTGGATTTATTGGTTGACCTAATTAAACATAATCATCTTGCTTGGCAACCTCAATTTGTTGACTTCAGAGTATGCCCCACATCGACGCTAATGAGATCTTGTTAATGAGTCCTAGATGTATTATGAATTCTCTTAGTGTAAAAACAATACAACCGGGCAAAAAGTATGAACCTACCTGACTCATGTCAATCTTGACTAACCCTAATAAGCTCTAATGAACTCTGTCAACTTCTGTTGACCTTGGTTAGTGTCGGTCGTGCTGGTGCGGACCTCTTTTGACCACTTTGTGTAATTGACCCACAATTTCTATTAAACCCAATCAACCCTATTCCTATGCAGATCTTTTTTTATAGTTTTGCTTTATGGGCCCACAAACATGAGCATGGTTATGCAGACATAGCATCATTTTGACGCTTCAAACAAAGCAAAAATTGAATATGAATTGTCCCCTCTAGCTCCCCCTGTTGGGATCCTCGAGTTTTTTTTTTTTTGGTTTATTGGTCTAGATTTGGAATCTTCTATAGATGATCTCTTTTTAGAAAATCTATGCATTGAGGCTTAGCCCCATAGTTTTTTTTTTTCTTTTTGTCTTTTTGAACTCACATGGTTGACAATAGGTTCATGAATTGCTTTATAACATGGGGGAATCGAGGCCAACCTTGCAAGGCCTCATTTTCATTTGGCGTGGTGGTAGAGGCCCTCACTCACATTTTGTAGGACTTCAAAGCATTTTTAAATACTACGACGACGACGACGACAACAACAACAACAAGCCTTTATCCCATTAGCAGGGGTCGGCTACATGAATCATTTTTCTCTAGTGCATCCTATTAAGTGTGATATTTTCATTTAATTCTAATAAATTAAGATTATTTTTTATCAATATGCCCAAGTCTTTCTAGGTTTACCTCTGTCTTTTTTAACATAAATTGAATCTAAAACTTCTACTCTCCTAAGCAGATTATCACTTGGTCGACGTTTAATTTGACCAAACCATCTAAAAAACGACTCTCTCTAATTTTGTCTGCCACTTGAGCTACACCAACCCTATTATAGATATATTCATTTTGCATTTTGTCTCTAAGTGTAAAGCCACCCATCCACCTAAGCATTCTTATCTCGGCAACACTTATCTCGGCAACACTTATCTTATCTCGGCAACACTTAATTAGTTTTGTGCTTCTATTTTAAAGGTCAACATTATGGACCATAGAGCATTATATGTCTCACCACCATCTTATAGCATTTTCCTTTCAGTCTAAGCAGTATGTTTCTATCACAAAATAGGCCCGAAGCATTCCTCCACTTCAACCAACCAACTTGAAATCAATTAAATATTTTTCTAGAAACTTTTGTTTTAGTTATTGTTATAAATGATAATAATTATATTTATTATTCATTTGATTGAGATTTATCAATTTTTCCAACAATGTTGTATGTTGTAGGTGCTTTTATAGTATAGCTAGTAAATAAATAAATGATTAAATTGATTAATTCCTAAAGGATTTCTTGTATTCTCCATCTTTTTCTTCCATGAATATTTTGAAAAGCTCAAATTGTTCTGATAAAAATCTTAGATATTTAGATTTGCAGAAAATGTCGGGCAGGCTTTAGATTTCATTTGGCATTTGCATCGATGGCAAAAGTAGGTGCACTGTTTGAACTGTAATAAGCTCTCCTTTTACTTAAATGGGTGCATATAACTTGTATTAAAGTCATTACGGTGAAAGTTTGATGTTGTATTGTAAGGGTTTTAGTTTCGACAAATGTTTAGTATATCACAATGCCTTTTGATAATAATATATATGAATGTCACTGAAGGACTCCATTCTTGCATGAAGATATGCCATTTTGAGTTTTTATTTGACTTTTTCATCTTTATTTCAGGCTTGGAATTGACGAAGAACTTGTGACATTGCTTGGGCGCTTTTCACCTGTATGTATTATCTTTTTATTTTGTGATGTTTTCATGACTTCAATGCATTTTAAATATCATAATCTACTTGTATTCGCCATTATGATGTCTAGAGGCTCACTTTAGATTCTAGTACGAACTGTTCATCTTTCCCTAAGAGGGAACATTATCATTTGTACACACGCACGTGCACACACACACATATGATATATAATCTCAAATGGTTTACAATAAATTATATGGTATTTAATTTATCTTTTGCATATATTGGATGGTTTAGATCATTGAAAAATATGTGTAGTAATTTTATTTTTAAGAATGCTTCTGTATGTCTTTTGATTATCCTTAAAATTTCTCACATATTTGACGAAACTTTAAATCATCATGATATTATGAAATTCAATCCTCATATACATCCTGTATATCCAAGTTTCTCAAGTGCCTATTTTGAGTACAGTTAATCTTATATAAGACATCCTGGTAGGATAAGGAAGATAAAGATAGTAAAATCATATGATATGAAGAGCTTGCTAGGAGATACTCAGTCCAAGGCTCAATCATGCCTAGTAACTCAGAAAATTGGGCATAGGTGTCTTTGCTGGATTAGTTGATGAATTCAATCATCACGCTAGCAATTTTATTTAGTGATAGACTTAGCTAATTGTTTGAATGTATTTTACTCTTTTGATTATACGCCTCATCAAATCTGATATATTTTTTATTTTTAAGTAATCTCTTTTGTAACACTAAAAAACTTGCTTCAAACTAGTAAATTAATGATTAGTGGGAGATTTTGCTTACACGAAGTCTTGGATGCTTAGCTCTTATATTTTTGTCAATCATCAAATCTAGAAACTCTTAGAGACAAAATGCGAAATGAATATATCCGTGATAGGGTTGGTGTAGCTCCTTTGACGGATAAAATTAAAGAAAGTTGTCTTAGATGGTTTGGTCACATTAAGCGTCGACCATCTGATGATCCGATTAGGAGAGTAGATGTTTTAGATTCGACTTATGTTAAGAAAGGCAGAGGTAGACCCAGGAAGACTTGGGCTTACTATATAAAAAATTATCTTAATTTATTAGAACTAAATGAAAATATGACACTAAATAAGCCGCAATGATGAAAAAGGATTCATGTAGCCAACCCCACGTAGTGGGATTAAGACATTGGTGTTGTTGTTATATCAAATCTAGAAACTCTCTCTATACTCCTAGCTTAGTATCACATTGTAGATCTTGTTAGTAGGTTATGATATTGCCCAACGACAAATATAGGCCCAGTAAATCGTAGTTTGTAGTTCATATTTAACAATGTGATTTCGTATTTGAAAGTTTTTTATAACAATATTTGCAAAAAAAAAGATGATAATAGGATTTCTCCTTATAGGACTATCTATTTATCTATCTATATATATATATATATATAAAGGAAGTCCGTAGCAGAGTCGCCAGAAATTGTTAGTTGCCAAATTGGAAATTGTTGGTTGCCGGAATGCATATCCCGACACCCGGTTTAATTTAATTTATATATATAAGTTTGAAAAGTATTATTTTAAGTTTTGAAATTACAAGATCAGACCGATCTTATATCCTCAGTAGTTTAAATAAACAAACCTAACACTGCAAGCAATGCATCTATCCCAAATAAGAGATACACTACTTACCGGTGATGCTCGATTAAATAAACTAAAGACTTTATGACATCCATTTAAGTCTGTAAAAAATCATTTTCTTATGTTGATCGACAAGTTCCTCTATTTAATGAAAAATTAAATAGGATTTATATTAAGATGGATTCTTAAAAGTTTCCTATAAGGACAAACTCATATAGTTAATTACATCTTAGATAACTGATGTTACAATGATATCGTAGCTTGAAGAGGTGTGGACGTTTTCTCTCTCGGCGAGGAGAGCTTCTTCCCAGACTTCGCAGGACGACGAGCAACCAACGCGAAGTTATAACCTCCTCAAACCCTCTATCTTTTCTTTCTTAGTTAGCCCTAAGGTTGGGGGATGTCATGGATCCTGAAGAGAATCTCGACGACTTCCCAATATATCCTATAGTTCAGCTTCAATTTTGAGAAGAATAATTATTTAAAGATTCTACCTTGCCAATTTTATTTGTTAGGGCTTACATTTATGCTAAACGGTCGCACAAATAGCCTGAAAGATATAAGGATTTAGGTCGTGACGAACGACAATCTCAGAATCCTAAGACGAGTTAGAGCTTAAATTGTATAGTAGCGTTATACAAAGGTCTAAAGATGAGTTGAAGATTTATGTCGCACTAGGCGGACAATTTCGAAATCCTATGTTCTGTTGTTTAATTATAAGAAGGATGTGCTGTTGTAGATCCTCATGTTGTTGTAGAAGGCTGCCCATAAAGCTAGCTCCAGGCTCCTCGACGAAGTAGCGGTCCTAAAGTCTAATGTTTAAAGGTTTAAATGATAAGTTGAAGTTCAATCATCAGGGGGGTTAAAGTTGATTTGAGTGACACCGGTTAGGATTTCACGTTTTCCTCGTTCCAATATCACTATTTTCTTTTGAATTTACTTAGCTTAAACGAGTTGTGAAACCCACTTAAACCGAGGAGATCTCGTTAGCAACTGTAGGTTACCTCCTTTGAGAAACTCGTAAATTCAAAAGGATGTTTTATGTTTAGTGACATTTCAAAGGATTTATGGTTACCTTTGAAACAATTTGTTTTAGATTTTGAAAATGTTGATTAATTTTTTAAAAGTTTTGATTTTGCAAATAAAATAAAGTGCACAACCAAACAGTTATGATATTTTGCAGTGAAAGTAAATTGCAGAAAGTAAAATGACAGAAATTAAATTATACTGTAAAAGCGTACTTGTCATCTTCTCGGCATTTCCGCTGAAACCTTAGCTTTTGCAACATGTATATAATTTTGCAGGAAATTAAATAAATTGCAAGAGTAGATGAATGTGTATCTAACAGTCCCCAAACTATGACTTATTGAGTTTTGAATGATTTTAGTGGATGATTTTAGAACAAAATATAACAAGTTCAATTTGTCCTTCAAAATATCCAAGTGATTCCAAAGTGTTCGTGGAATGACTTTGAACCGTTTTAAAGATCTCTTGAAACGTTTCGAGTTCATTTTGAACTTATCATATTGTTCTGTTAATCATAACAAGGTCGAATTAAAATTATCTCATTACTAAGCGAACCTTGACATTTTAATTATCCCAAGAAATAAAGGAAGTTAAATAGTCACTTAACATTTCACTTGATAGTTATATGAGTGGGTACCCCAAAGGGCAAGTTCAAAGTCATTAAGGATTTCAATGCCCAGAGTTAAAGTAGGTGGGTATAAAACGTTTGAAAGTTTTGATCAATTAATTAAGTCATCTTTTCTAATCTCAATTAAGACAATTATTACATATCGAACCTAGTTCACTATTAGACCCTCTCAATTTCAATTTTCAAAATAAATTTAAGATAATTAAATATTGAAATGAAATTTCTATTCTCATTAATATCAGACTTAGTATATATTTACTAATTTGTGGGCCTTAAATGAGTGAATTACTATCTTCATAGCTTAATCCCAACACCTTAGGATTATCTTAATTAAATTATCTTTCAAATCATGACAATTATCGAGATTACAACTTTACTCTTATAATAAAAATGTAACAAATTGGTTTCTAACTTTTAACTCATTATATTTCAATCGTCCAAAAAATTTATTATGATCAATATGATTCATTTACCCTTTGATTAATTTTAAAATTTAATTAAGACATTAAAATTCCAAAATTACCATTTTGCCCCTGGGTTCTCAATTCTATAACTTATCAAATAAACTCAAGTGACTCACAAAATAATTTTAAAGAAAAATACAAGACATAGGGAAATGTCGAAGGAAATAACAAGTGAAACAATTATAAGCATTCAGGTTCGGGTGGACTCAGATTTAGGTAGTCTCGAGGGACTCCGAAGGCAACATCGGTCACCCGTATATATAAAACCCAAAATTCAACTATAAGGGTTTTCTACAATACCAACTTAGGAGGGTACTCTTAGCCCAGTACCAGTGATTGACAAGTGGAAAATCTAGTTATATTACTTAAAATTTATATTTTGGCATGCATATAGGTTTCATGCATATAAGTAGTATCAAATTTTGTAGTCAAAATATTTTTGTAACTAACTTGTCTATTCCTATCATTGTATTTTATATAAAATATGATTGTCCACAAGTCGATCACGCCGTCGGGCTAGGACCGCAAAACGCCTTTAAGAAAGCAAAGGTGCCCCGCTTGTCTGGTGTCGGTGAATAAATTTGTCATCCTACATTTCACCGGGTCATTGAGTCGGGTCCCGATGTCGTAGGATGAAATATTATTCTGTTATACCACCGAATGTATTTATCATCAAGACCCAATCCCAGAATGAACCGTTCAACTTATAACCTTACTTGATGATTCATATAAAGAGACGACTATATATGTGTGCTTATGTTTGGGAGATAAGCACCTAAATCAAGCCAAGAAGCAATGAACAAAAGAAGAAAAATGAGGTGAGAGAAAGGAGAGACCAATCCACCTGAAATGACGAAGAAGTAAAAGGTGGAGTGACCCTCAAAAACGCATCTAAAATGATCGACGAAAAATCAAAAAAATGCGGCCCAACCATCCACGAATCAACCCAAAAGAGTATAATTTCTTCCAATTTTGCAAACGAATCAACCCAAATGGAATCATTTCCAAACTGCATTTCAAGCAAGTCGAAACAGCAAAGAGTTTGAACCAACGCAATGATTACATACGTGGCCCCACAACACTTACGCATTTACACACTCAAGTCTAAACCCAAATGTTTGCATTCACGTCATCCAGATCTTTCATAAATCAATTCCAAAATTTTTCTAAATAATAGTTTGTGAGTTTTCAAACTTTTCATGAATCCAATTCACATCAATTTTATGCTTCCCAAAACTAAATTCTAAAAGCCTTCAAATTTTGCGAATCAAACAAAAGGCATATAAT